CTTGTATGTGGCACACGGCAGAATGTGTGGCGCAATTAGTAAAGTTCGAACTCGGTCTTAATTGACCTAGCAAAACAAGCATGCTAAACATTACACCACGTCGGTGTAACTGACATCCATTAGACATGGCATGTGGAACTAGATCAGTCTACCCCAGTGAGTGAAATAAAGGGTTCAGTTCGACATTCCAACTACCTGAAGAATACCGAAGCGTACAACAGCCGAAATGTTGTGATAAACATGGCGACAAAGATGAGGACAGTAGACCAAATAATGTAAATAGTGTACATAATACCTCATCTCAGAAATATAGACAGATACTGAAATATGGAAATTATTTCTGACAATCGCTTTTCTTAGTTATCACTAAGTAAACTATCCCTAAATAAAGATTGTCAGATATTAAAGCAAGAATTTCTGACAATATCTCCAGATTTTGGTAAATTATCATTCTTAGATATTTTTCTTTCCATCTTCTGAGCAACGGTCGTTTCTTTTTAATGGCACCAAAGAGACTGTTGCCTCCGGGAAAAAAAATGCAGAAATATTAGGCCAAAGCCAGTGTTTATCGAAGTATAAAACACAGAACATGATTTAGGTAGTTTTTTTTTCTGTGCAGAGGACAGAAATGCGAATGAATAAGAATACATTTTTCGGGTTCACGGGGTTTCGCTTCGATATGGAAATTGACTGTTTACTCGGAGACAAGTTTCTTGGAAAACAAAACCTGGTTTGCAGAATGGCGAATACAAACATGAGGATGGTCATGGAGGCAATCTAAAGTACTTGGGTAGAAAAATCTACGACACCTTCCTTGATGAATTTCATTTTAACATCACGAAACTCATTAGAAAACTGGAAAGGGTTATTATAAAAATAAATCGTCATAATATGTCTATATTATTTAATGAAACATGTTTGAATAAAGATATGCTGCCTAAATATACATTATACATACATATAACTTAATAAAAGGACGATAGGAGAAACTATATTTTTCCGACGCGTTTCGTCCTCTGAGAGACTTTACAGATACAATTTATACACTTTATCTGAAAATAATATACATACGTCTTTGTATATTTATATAATTTAAATAAAAACTAAATTTTATTTTTTATTCCCGGAGTTGTTTTTTTCTGTTTTCCTTTTGAATTTGTAGGTCTGATGAATTGGATCGTATTTACGATTCCAATGGAATAAATTATGACCATGGAATATTAGTGTTTAAGCCTTTTTATTATATTTTATTTTATTATATATATATATATATATATATATATATATATATATATATATATATATAATATTTGAAAAGTAACCCCGATTCCATGTATGATGGACTATGCCGTCTTGTAAAAATTAAAATTACTGGATAGAGTCCATCATACACAAAAGTCTTTGTTACTATTGCTTGTATTTTTACTATAAATCTTTTATACACTCATAGTGTTCTGGCTCCAGTTTAGAGGTTAATTATTTACCCCTAGCTGGGACCCTTACAGATGCTATCACCCAGGGTAAAGGTGGACCTGAGAACAAGTGCAATTAAGTGGTGGTTACAGGCTCCTCAAAACCTCCCGATCAGAGGCTTTGCTGCTGGATTTAGTTTATCGACATACCCAGTAATGTTAGTAAGTTGAAAATGAGAGAAGGACAGAGAGAAAAGAATATAGAAAAAAATATATAAAAAAAAACTATAAAAAAAAAAAACTAAAAAATAAACTTCTCCAAGACAATTAGGACTTAAAGATTTCTTAAGTTCAGAAACGTTTCCTCTTTGAGATTGGTAAACGAATCTGCATTTGTTTTATTTGATATTGTCTTCTATTTTCATAACGGCTTTTTTTTTCTCTTACCTGTCAGAAATTCTTTTCTTCAGAAGAAACAATTGGTGTCTGTTGAATTTACATGTGACTGATCAGGATTTATAGACATGCAAATGACTCACGCAGAAATATTTTAATGGAAAATGCATATAGGTAGCTTGATAATTAACAGACAGATAGGTAATGAACAAACTGAGATAGATAGATAATGAAAAGACTGAAATAGATAGATAATGAACAGACTGAGATGGATAGATAGATGAATATTGAACAAACTGAGATAGATAGGTAGATAGATAATGGACAGATTGACATATATAAAGAACGTAGATAATGAACAGACTGAGATGGATAGATAAATAATGAACAGACTGATACACATAGATGATGAACAGACTGAGATAGATACATAGATAATGGACAGAGCTAGCTAGCTAGATAGATTGATAGGTAATGGATCAGAATGAGATAGGCAAACGGACAGACAGGCAGACATACCGACAGACAGATAGATAGATAGATAGATAATGAACAAACAGAGATAGCTAGCTATATAGATAATCAAAAGTCTGAGATAGATAATGAACAGACTGAAATAGATAATGAAGAGATAGATAGTGAACAGACTGATATATATATATATATATATATATATATATATATATATATATATAGATAGATAGATAGATAGACTGATCACGGATAAGGTTTCAAATATTATCGTAAAGTCACTAAAAAAACGATCTAATTAATGCCTCCGCAATCAAAAAATAAAATCAGGATGAGTCATAGGATTCTACATTAGTATATGCAGTCGGGAATTCCGTTGTGATGAAGAGAAATATATTGAGAAAAACATTTAGATTTTTTCACTACTCGCCATTTCAACGTCCAGACTAGAAAACGACCTTACAAAATGCTAAAATTAAAAAACAAACAAACTAGCCACTGCCAATAGCACTTCTAACAAAACAACACAAAATTAATAATCCTACTATCACTCTTTCTAAGAAATTGGTAAATAAATTAGTTATTCCCAATACGATGATCAATATAATCATAGACACAATTAGATCAAACACTAATTAAGATGCCGCTACTCATCAAAGAAAATGTTTACAATGTAAAAGGGAGACATGATGAGATCTAAAAGTCCGTAACTACGAACATAAAAAAAGATTTACGTTTAGGCAACCATTCAAAATCTCGTAATACACATAACAAAACTGGCCATAACAGTGATTTCACTAACGCTGCTCTAATTAAAAAAAACATAATTCTTTAAAGAGTATTGCCCACTTTTATATTTACATAGGCTCTATCCCTGATATTAAGCACTTTTACTCACAAATATAGCATACCGTTAAACTGTATTTTTAACACACACACACACACACATATATATATATATATATAATTAAGTTATAAAGAACATGGTAACTACCCATCAATTTTAATTTCATTTTTCGTTTCATTTCATTTTTGGAAGTGCTATCTGATGATCCGGCGTCTTTTAAAAGGACTCTGGTGAAATTATTATAATGGTACCTTAAAGTGGTCTGTTTTTCTTTTAAAAATATATATATATATATATATATATATATATATATATATATATATATGCTTTCTTTCGAGTACTTTTTAAAAATATAGATACCAAAAAGAAGTGTGGATTTTTAATCAGATGTGTATGTAAGTATATATATATATATATATATATATATATATATATATATATATATATATATATATATATATAGTCATCTTTCATCAAAAGAAATCGAGATTCACGAATTAAACACTACCTTTCAGTGGCATGCTCATTATTCAGAAATCTCTATAGTCGAATCATTGCATGTCGATCATTAAGAGAAGTAAAGATGGAAGTAGAAACCAAATGACCTCGGTACGTCGAAGTATTTCTGCGTTGCAGACATGAAAATGCTGCGGTCGGAAACAAAGATAATGACATATATAACGAATGGTAAAAAGCCAGAACGATCCTTGTACTTGGGACCTTTTCCCGTATGTAAATGGCCGTTTGATGTAATGCGGCGCGGAATAAGAAATTGGAAACCGAGTTCACCTTCATTTTGCATTCCTTATATACTTACAATTCAAAATAGGCTTCGGCTTTAGATAACACATAAATTCAATCAATCAATCAAATATCTAATTTTTCAACACAATCCCACCCACACACAGACGCACACACACACAGATTTCTCTCTCTCTCTCTCTCTACACACACACACACTTGATTTTTGACATGCTTTTGATATAATATCCTAAAATAAATGAATAAATATATATAAATATATATATATATATATATATATATATATATATATATATATGTGTGTGTGTGTGTGTGTGTGTGTGGTGGGCGCGCGTGTGTATGTGTGTGTCTGCATGTATTTAGGCAGCAATCTTTCTTTCATGCACATTTAATTGAATGCGACAGACAAGGTGTACTTAGTGTTTATACAATTTCTCATGCGATCTAATAATTTTTTTCTTTTCGAATGATAAATTATATAAAAACTGTCCGAATGTTCTTTTTATCCGAGCGCTTTCGGCTATACATTTAGCCATTTTCAATAGATTGACACGCAGACTCATTCTATACCTTTCTGACCATAGCTCAATTAGATCTCACTTAAATATTCATGGAGACCTACCCGACACGATTCGTGACATACTTGTTGACAACACTAATATAATAGCATCATCTACATGCAAAAAAGATAAAAATAATGGAAGCCTTATTAATAAAAACAAAAAAAGACCAACACTTAATATTATAAACTTTGAACATTGACACAATATCTTGACCGTGTTTTGAAAAATTAAAGTATTTTATAAAACATACAACAAACTATGGATCCGGCTCAACCCACCTCGGGTGAATGCCATTACAAGAAGAGAAGAGAGATATTTAAAACCTGAATATATGTTTAGGCTGTAATAATTTTTTTTTGTTTTGGCGATAATAAGGATTTAGGGAAATAAGTCATACTAATTAACCCATAGCAGGAGGTAGAAGAGGTGGACTTATACCTTCGCAATTGGGATTTTCGCGCAAGTGAACATAACGAAGCAAACGGGAATTTGAACTCGATTAACAATTCGGAGATTTTACCATTACCCCCCGCACATCTAAGCTTAATGCTCCTGGTATTCTCAAGCTGTCACCCATCTAGGTACTGGCCAAGCTCAACATTGTTTAACTTCGTCGATCTTACGGGAACTTGTGTTTCAACGTGATGGGGTCGTTCATTTTTGTGTTGTTTTTGTCAAAGAAAAAGACATACAAGTGTTGATATGTTAAACAATGTGGCACTTGTTTTTTGAGTTTCATTTTTTTTTCTGAGCCTGTTCAGAGATGTAGTTCAGTTAACTGAAGACTTAATGAATAAATATCTGCGTCAGCCTCAAAAGACACATAAATTGCACACAAATAGGCATGGATACTTGTGTATCGAGCTCGTTGTTAAGAAAAAAAGAAATCTTTTTAAATTCAATAATTGTATGTCTATTTCCATTGCTATCAACCTCTCTTTAATTCTTTACATCGTCATCATCATCGGAGTTGCTTCGATATATATATATATATATATATATATATATATTCTTTTGTCTTAAGAAAACAGTGCTCAGAGGTAAAAGATAGAGCTATTAAGTATATATTAATAAATATAAATAATACCGTTTCATGCTCAAAGCAATCACCAGTTACATATATCAGATCATCCAATTGTGACACCATTTAGGGATGCAAGGAAAAGGAAGAAAAGAAGGGAAAGAAATGAAATTTTGATAGTGAAAAATGGTGAAAGGTTTCATTGCCATTGTCGAGAATTCTAAATAGATAAAAATTAACTGTGTCGTGGTGGCGGACTTATATTATCGGGAATAGATAACAGCCACTTGGTGCTGGCGAAAATCTAGTTGACAAGTTCCAGATCGGCTAGTTAAACTCCGGGACAGAATAGATAAACATTTAACCGTGTCACGGGAATGCCATTTGGGGCTTCCACAGAAAACTACAGAGATAAAAATTTAATAGGAATGCCCTGACCACACACGAGCTGAAAAAAGAAAAAGAAAAAAGAAAACAAAGAAAATAGGTTAAGTCTTTGTCGATGGAAAGATATCGTTGGACAAAGTCTGGGTTGTGTTAGAATCTAGCGGTAACAGCGAAACTATTTTATCGGAAAAGTTGGCTGTGTTTTGCTGGATGACCACCCACCCTGATAATTAGAGAAAATCTGATTGACGAAGTCCAGATGAAAGTGACCTTGGGATAGGAATTGAGGTTATAACACCACGGGTCGCATTGTTCTGTTGGCGGCCAGAGAAGAAGAGAGAATAGAAAAGAAAAGAAAGAAGGGAAATAGAAAAAAGAAAAAGAGGAGATAATTCTTCTTTCTTTGAGCAAGATATTTTTTTTAAGAAACAAGGCTAGTCTGGTCACGCCCACACTGTTGATCGGCCATTGGATGAATGTTAACGAGAGCCAGGCGGAGATGATCATGTGATGCAGGGGGGCTGCTCCCACTCCTTAAAGAGGATAGGAAAATCGTTGACGCCCTCTGAAGGTAGGGGTAAGAGAAGACGTCCAAAAATGGAAATAATAAATTTTTCCTGACCGAAAACAAAAGAAGGGGATTGTGGATTTGGAATTATCAAGGAACCTCAAAACCCCAACAAAGCCCACCCCGATAAGCAAAGTCGCAGTGAGCGAAAATCAGTTGAGTTGGAGTTCCAGTTTTCCAGAGTTTCCAGTTTGCAGTTGAAGTGGGTCCGCCTCGCATTAGCTGACTAAGATTCGCGCAACTTCCGAACTCATCTTCAATCCAAGAACAATTTATTTTTGAAAAGCGACTTAGATTCATACCACCAAAACAAGTTTTACGACTATCGCCTGAAGACACACCAAGAACCAGTTTCTTAAAGAACAGACAACTTAAGATGTTAAAACTCACCTAACAAAAACAACGTGTCACGAATCCATATAGCGGGTCGGGAGATAGACGCAGTCCTACGTATCCAGCAACCAGATATAAAGTATTGTTATCCTTTTTTTTGATACCGTTGAACTTTTGAGTTATTATTTTATTTTCTTTTACACATATTTGTGCGATACTACCCTTATTCGAACTCAACTTGCATTACGGCCCCAACGACTGATTGATTTCGTCTGCCTAAGATCAATTCACAACGTGGGTAGGCAGACTGGGGATCAAAGCAGTTACTTCGGTAACCAGACGTTGGAAGCGGGTTGGGAACGACGAGGCTGATATCGAATCTAAACCGATTCCCATCCGAATCACCAAAAGGTTAGAACGTCACATTTGGGTGCCGCGACCAATACCAAGCCAGTTGGTCGTCACAGGACGGGACAACACGACTGACGCAGGCAGGCGGACGTCACGTTTGGAGCGGCGATACCCGAACGAAGCAGCGAGGAACGAGCAAGGCTGGGGGACGTCACACATAAGTTCTGTCCGAATTTTGAATAAAGAAAACAAGTGACCAAATGTTACATTTAATTCCAGATTCAATCAACAATGTATTTTCCCCTATTATCTATGACTTCCTTCCATCTATTAACAAGGTTACTAATTCCATTACTGTAAAATTCTTTTGGCTTTGATTCGAAGAACTCACAAATGTCAGTTTTAACCTCTTCCTGTGTTACAAAAGCTGTTTCTTCCAAATTATTCTATAAGCTACGAAACAAATGGTAGTCTGAAGGAGCAAGATCGGGAGAATAAGATGGATGATGAATTTTCTCCCAACCAAGTTCTTCGATCTTTTGTGACGTGATTCTTGCTGTGTGGAGTCGCGCGTTGTCCTGAGGAAACATCACCTCTTTTCGATTCACTAGAGCAGGTCTTTTTTTCCTCAAAGCTTGGTTCAAACGCTCTAATTGCTGACAGTATATTTGAGCATTAATTGTTGCATTAGGTAGTAAGAATTCAAAGTCGATTATTCCTTGGTGATCTCACCAGATTGAAAGAAGAACCTTTTAGAAGTTCCCTTCTCGGCTGTGGCTGGGGTCTTCCCCTTTACCAAGCCACTGTCTACGACGCTTAACATTTCGATAAAAGATCCATTTTTCGTCGCCAGTCACAAGTCTATCCAAAAAAGGTGAAACAAGTTGGCGAGAATGGAGAGAAGAGCAGATGTCAACTCGAGATTTGAGATTGTTTGCAGACAATTCATGGGGCACCCATTTTCCAAGTTTAGGAACTTTTCCAAATTGTTGAAGATGACGATGAACAGTTGTATGGTTTGAACTGAGAACTACTGCCAATTCGTCAACTCATAAAGCAGGATTTTCTTCAAGGGCTGCTTCAAACTCAACTGAACGTCCGGTTCGATCTTCATCTTCAAGGGTGAAATCTCCACCTCTGAATTTTGCAAACCATCCTCTGCAAGTTCTTTCATTCACACATTCCTCTCCATAAACTGAGTGAATGTTTCTATCCGCTTCGGCTGCTGAGTTTCCTTTTTTGAACTCATAAAGCATTATGTGCCTCAAATGATTCTTGGATGCTTCCATGTTAGCAGGGTTTTAATCAAACAAAATTTAAATTTATTGTTCTCTGAAATAAAATTTGATCAGTTTAAATGCATCTAAACATAAAAATAATGTTCAGCTCCATTAGACATTATAAAATACTTTTTAAATTTCGTTCATTTTAACAAAAAGTTAAAATTCGGACAGAACTTATGGGATGACCTGGTATATATGTGTGTGCACGTGTAACGGTAATTCCATGAGCCGAGTTCCAACCTTGTTTTGTCTTTTATGTTCATATTCGCAAAAATTCCCACGAGAAAAGCATAAATCAGACCTTGCTAAACTCCCTGTTATGGGTTAAGTAACAAGATAGACTGACCTCTTTCGTCAGTTCAGGATAAAACAAACATTCTGATTTCAAAATCCTTGAGAAAAATGCGGGAAATCTTTCCACTACAAGTCAGTCGATAAATAATAATAATAATAATAATAATAATAATAATAATAATAATTATAAAAGCTATCATAATGCAAGGACCTTGAAATCGAAATCTCAGAAATGTGGCACATGGGAACATCAACAATCCCTGTTCTAGTTGGCGCCCTCGGATTGATTGGAAAAGATTCCAGTAAACAAATTGAGAGGATTCCTGGAAGTCCATGCCGTAAGGAAATACAAAAATGTTCTCACGAGTACAGACCACACCTTACGAAGGGCTTTATCTATGTAAAATATGTTTGTATTTTTTTTAAATGGTCAGTGGAAAATGTTTTGATGCCATTTCTAAACATAGTTCTCTGGACGGGACCCCGAAAGAAATGTGTACACACAAGAAATCAAAGGAAATATAATAATAATAATAATAATAATAATAATAACAAATCTGAATCTTTGCTGTTATTATCACAACGTTTCGGTTGTGGTGTGCTTCTTCAGGTATTGTGAATTTCAAAATGAATCTTTTATTTAATCTATAAGGATATCAGTCCTTCCGCTCAATTATTTCTTATCATGTTTTTACTGAATCTGTCTATATTTCCGGTCCCAGAGTTTGAAATAAAAGTTAGTGTTTCAACAAATTGTCGAACGAACACTTTAATCGATCAAATTATTGCAGATCAAATAAATGGCTCAGTTCTAAATTCCCTGAAGTTATCCAGATTAACAGATAAAAGGTGGACAGGACAACGAATGATGCGTTGTGATAATAAGAGTCAACATATGAAGATTAAATCCAAGAATATGATTCTATTAAAATAAATAATGTAAAGAATCATGTTCTGTGATCTGATCATGTGGAATATTTTTTCCTGGCTTCCACTGTGCTCCATCCTGCCTGCTTTTGGTATTATTTTTTCTTTTTCTTTTTTTCTTTTCTTTTGAGCATTTAACAAAGTCTAATCCGCCGCAAGGCGATGAAAATTTGTAAATTGATATTGTTAAAATGAATTAATCGGAAATTAAGAAAATAATTATAACTTTAAATGAAAACGAAGAACTAAGCTTTGACAAGGGCGGGGGTGAAATTTAATTTTCAAACTTGAATCTCGATTTAAGAGATTCACATAAAATCTGCTTCATATTAAGAAAAAAACATTTTTGCATTTTCGCTGAACAGTGTTTTGTTTTTGATCTATATTTTTCCTTTTCAAACAGCTTATCAGGAGGGAAATGCAACAATCAAAATTGGATCGTTCCGGTCGAAATTTAATAATCCCGGTCATAATAGAAT